CCTATTTAAATGCAGGCATAAGGTTAAAACATAGTAATGTAGAAGCATGGAAGATGAGAAGGTACTGGTTGACTGAGTTTCTGTTGTCTGTAGGTCTCATGCTCTTTCCTTCTCAGCAACCCTTCTAGTTAGTATAAACTTTGGTTTAACTTTGAATATAGAATCTCATCATCTCTCTTGGCTGTTCAGTATACTAAGGTGATATCAGCAAATGCATTTGAGCATACAGAAGAGCCTGGCAGATAACCCATCTCTTTTGGCAACACATTTCATAAATGTTTTGCCCCATAGATGCCCCCGTAAAATGTACAGTTGCCTTGTTTATTGTCCATGACCGGCAGCAGTGGTCTTGGGTTCAAACGGATATTCACGCTCAAGACCTGATAGGCCATACCTGGTGCTCTCTCTTTCCCCTTTTTGAAAGATAGGGGATCTAAGACACAGCACATCAGCATCAGGTGTATTGTTCCCCAATAATAGCTAAGGTTAGAGGAAAGATGACGTGGGTGGGAGCACGTGCCACTCTGACTTAGCTGCTTCCTGCTCCGTGGGAGATAGTATCTTTTGTAACAGCACCAGGGCATTGTACCCAGGTGCAAAGAGCACACCAGTTCCAAGTCCAGTCCCCACTGAGAGAAGGCTTTCTTTATAATTCCTACCGGACATATGTAGCCCTACTCAGTGTTTGCTCAATCCAGATGGAGCTCACCACTAGGGGTCAAGTTTACCGCACAAAATGTTGCTTGGAAAAAGCTGGCACCCCACCTTTATGAGGTTTCCAGGGAAACAGTACTAGAAGGTTAACCAGAGGTCATTTTTTCATGCTGGAGAAAAGGTTTTGTTAACCCTTTACTCACACTAAGTTATTGACAAAATACATGGAAAACTTGCGTATCACTAGCTGTATGATCTGTGAAGTGGATTGTATTAGAGGCACTGTTCATTTTCATTGCCTTTCATAACATCTGGGTCTACACGAAGTTGTTTTTACATGCCAGCAGATGGCTCTAGTAATTGTATTTTGCTGATGGTTTTAATACATTTAGGAAATTAAAAAAGTCCTTCCATATATTAGGTTTGCTTGCCTCAATTCTTTAAGACCATAAGATCATAGAAGTGTGTACTTGCTTGCTCTCTCTATGTCAAATAAATAAAATCTTTAAAAAAAAAAAAAAAGAGACAGCATACATACTTCAGAGCAGTTTTTATTCACCTGTCCTTAAAGTTGATTTCCATTTGTTATTCCTCCAAATGGACTGACTTCGATTCTGTCTTCCACAGTTTAAGAATATAAGTTTATGTTGTTTATCACAAAGTCACTTAGTTAAGGTGACTTTTCAGGACTGCTTTGTGGAAAACTGCAAATTTAATTCCTCTTATTTCTAACCATAAGTAAACTCAAATATGCCATTTTTCTGATGTCCCGTCCTAAATGTATGTATGTCCAGTGCTCAGAATACAGTTATGTTTGCTCAGAAGTCTAATAAGTTAGGTATATTACTGGATTGTTCATTCAAAAAATATTTTAGTCTTGAGTATATGTAAAGTGGTGTACTACCCAGTAGGGAATAGAGTAGTGAAAAAGAAAAAGACAGTTCTTAGGCTTATGGATTTAAGTTCAATATTGTATGTTGAAATTAGAAATTACAGAGCCTGCTTTAAAAGGATAATTTTTCTAAGTTTGAATAATTGAAAATTGTAACTCTTTTTTCTATGTTTTTGATATATTTGTATATATGAGATAGTGCAGTAGTTTTTGTTTAATTTGAAAATTGGTCAATTCTTGATTATCCAGGATATAGGGGCCCTTATAAAATTTCTAGATTTGCTTGGTACATTCTGATGTTGATGTTAATTTGAGCAGAACATGCTTAGGAACATAGTAGTACAGCTAGAAATACGAGTCACAAAAGCAAATACAGTTAACATATCTCTATAGCATTTGTAAATGCTTTTTAAATTAGTTTCATTTGGTGATGCTGACAGGCCTTATATATAGGCATTTTAAAAAATTCTCATTCTACTGAGAAAGAAATTTAGACTGGAAATAAGTGATAAACATTATTCAGGAACTACATGGTAGAGCAGAATTTAAGTGGATGAAATTTTACTGTTTTTTTCCTCCTAAATCACCAAATAAATGGTACTTTGAGTTATCCTGTCTCTGGTAACCGTCATAAATGATTGGCTCTAACAATGGAAAAGATAGTAAAATTGTTCACTAAAGAAGTTTCTTAAATGGTATCTTATTTTCCAAATAGTGCAATGCTCTAATATGTTTGTATTTTATCCCAAACCCTATTAATCGTAATCATTACACACATAAACATTTTTATTTTGATGTAAAAAGTTAATGCTGGTGTGTTTTTACATTTCTCCAGTATACCTGTTGGGTACAAATGACAATCATTGATATCAGTTTTAATTAAAAAATAAAAATAAAATTAAGTAAACAGTAGATGAAAAGTTTGAGTGGGCCAGATGTGTTGCTGAGACGTGTCCACCGTGTTGAAGGCATATAGAGTAGCTCTGCCTGATCTGAGCACTGTAGCTAAATTGCTGTCATAGGTTGTAGAGGCATTGATTGATGATTGATCTGCAAAAGTTGTCAGTATTGAATGTAATTGGCTTATTTGGCTGCTATAATGCAACCACTTTCAATCTGGTTTTTAACCAGTTCTTGATATCTGCTACTCAGGGATTGCTGCTTCTACAATAGTTAAGCTTGAATTTTTGTTTTACCTCACATACCTGCTTTTCTCTGGCTTACCACGGAGCTCATTGTAATAAAACTTGCTACAAGTGGGTGGCAGTGTTGATTTCAGAGAAACTTCAGAAAAATGTCCTGTTGTCGGTGTACATTCACAGTCATTTGGATAAGAACTCAAATTTAAAAGTCTGTGTTTAGCGAAATAGTAAGACATGTTTGGTTAGATAATGGTGAAAATCAAATTTGTTAAGTCATCTAACTCATCTTTAGAGCCAATCCAATTTAACTTGGTTTTATGATTTTTTTTTCAGTGTTTAATTCAGTGAATGAAAATGTCACATTTATTAGCTTATGGAATACAGTAAAATTTAAAAAAATCAGTCACTAACATAAAATTTAATAATAACCTCTTTATGGTAGTTTTATTAGTGAGTAAAAGAGAAGTTAGTATTTTTTTAAGAAGAGAATATGCAGTGGGGGAAAGGTCAGTTTCTTCAACAAATGGCGCTGGGAAAACTGGATGTCCACACGCAGAATGAAACTAGACCTATCTTACACCATAAACAAAAATTAACTCAGAAAGGATTGAGGACTTTTAGGACCTGAAACCATAAAATTCCTAGAGAAAAACCTGGCCATAAGCCCCTGACATCTGTCTTGGCAATGATTTTTGGATCTGTGACATCAAAAGCAGGGGCAACAAAAGCGCAAAATAAGTAAGTGAGACTGCATCAAACTAAAAAGCTTTTGCCCAACAAAATGAAAAGACAGCCTACTGAGTGGGAGAATATATTTGCAAATTATATATCTGATAAGGGGTTAGTCCCCAAAGTATATAAAGAACTTCCACAACTCAGTAGCAGCAAAACAAACAGTATGAGTATGAAATGGACAGAAGATCTGAATAGACATTTTTCCAAAGAAGACATACAGATGGCTAGTAGGTATATGAAAAGATGTTGAGCATCACTAATTATCAGGGAAATACAAATCAAAAACCACAGTGAGTCATCCCCTCATCTGTCAGAATGGCTGTTGTCAAAAAGACAAGAAATAAAGGTTGGCAATGATATGGAGAAATGGAAACTCTTGTGCCCTTTTGGTGGGAATGTAAATGGTGCAGCCACTATGAAAAACAGTATGGAGGCTCTTCAAAAAACTAAAAATACAACTACCATATGCTCTGGCAATTCTGCTTCTGGCTGTTTATCCAAGACCACTGACTCAAAAAGATGTGTGGACCCACATGCTTATTGCAACATTATTCACAACAGCACAGATACGGAAACAACCTAAGTGTCCTGTTGGTGGATGGATGGATGGGTAAAGAAAATGTGATACATACAGACAATGAAAATAAAAAAGAATGAAGTCTTCCGGTTGTGACAAAATGGATGGACCTGAGAGCATTGTGCTTCCTGAGCTAAGAGAAAGACAAGAAAAAACAAACCCCCCAAACTAACCCCCCTCCCACACCTAAAACAAAACAAAGCCCCCAAACCCAAGTTTAACAGATACAGAGAACAGATTGTTGGTTGCCAGAGTCAGGGATGGATGATATGGGTGACTGTACAAACTTCCAGTTGTAAAATAAATAGCCATGGGGATACAATATACTGTTTGGCAATTATCATTAATACTCTATTGCATATTTGGAAGTTTTAAGAGAGTAGATCTTAGAAGATCTCATCACAGGGGAAAAAAACTTTCCAGTTGTGTATGGTGACAGATGTTAGCTACTTACTGTGGTGATCATTTCCCATTATATATAAATATCCTTATTTTGTACACCTGAAAGTAATACAGTGTTACATGTCCGAACTCAGTACAAAAAATTTTTTTTTCCTCAGCCTGCCTGGCTCACTGGTGGGCACACGAGGAGCTTGGGAATCACGCTCTTTGGCCTCTGGCCTCTTCTGCCTGAGGAGCTGGGAGCACAGCTGTTGACTTACGCCCCAGAGCCTCCCTTCCCTCGTACACAAATCTGGGAACATGGCCTCAACCGATTCTTCTGTCAAATCAAGGAGAATGCCTTAATGAAAGTACCCGCCAGTAATTAAGTACTTTTTTAAGAAGGAGTATCATTTGATAACTGTTTGTGTTTCATAAATACAGCAGTGGCAGGAGAGAGGAGGCTGATGAGAACAGAAGCAACAGGGGAATCAGAGCAGCAGTGGGTGGGGCCTTCAGAGGAGTCTCCTAGTAGCATAATTTAGTATATCGTGGATCTAACTTTTTAAATAACGTATGTCGAATCACTGATTCTCTCTCTCTCTCTCTCTCTCTTTAGGATACTTACGGAGAGTGGCCATGGAAAAGTCCTGGATGCTGTGGAACTTTGTTGAAAGATGGCTAATAGCCTTGGCTTCCTGGTCTTGGGCTCTCTGCCGTATTTCTCTTTTACCTTTGATCGTGACTTTTCATCTGTACGGGGGCATTATCTTACTTTTGTTAATATTCGTATCAATAGCAGGTATTCTGTATAAATTCCAGGATGTATTGCTTTATTTTCCAGAACAGCCATCTTCTTCACGCCTTTATGTTCCCATGCCCACTGGGATTCCCCATGAAAACATTTTCATCAGAACCAAAGATGGAGTGCGTCTGAATCTTATTTTGATACGATACACTGGAGACAATTCCCCCTATTCCCCAACTATAATTTATTTTCACGGGAACGCAGGCAACATAGGTCACAGGTTACCGAATGCGTTGCTTATGTTGGTTAACCTCAAAGTCAATCTTTTGCTTGTTGATTACCGGGGCTATGGGAAAAGCGAAGGAGAAGCCAGTGAAGAAGGACTCTGCTTGGACTCCGAGGCTGTCCTAGACTATGTGATGACTAGACCTGACCTTGACAAGACAAAAGTCTTCCTTTTCGGCCGTTCCTTGGGAGGAGCCGTGGCTATTCACTTGGCCTCTGAAAATTCACACAGGATTTCAGCCATTATGGTAGAGAACACGTTTCTAAGCATACCGCATATGGCCAGCACTTTATTTTCCTTCTTTCCGATGCGTTACCTTCCTTTATGGTGCTACAAAAATAAATTCTTGTCCTACAGAAAAATCTCTCAGTGCAGAATGCCTTCTCTTTTCATCTCTGGACTCTCTGACCAGTTAATTCCGCCAGTGATGATGAAGCAACTCTACGAGCTCTCCCCGTCTCGGACTAAGAGATTGGCCATTTTTCCTGACGGGACTCACAATGACACATGGCAGTGCCAGGGCTACTTTCCGGCCCTCGAACAGTTCATCAGAGAAGTCCTCAAAAGTCATTCTCCGGAAGAAATGGCAAAAACTTCCTCTAACGTAACAATCATCTAATGTTGTTCCTTTTGATTCATGCACTGTATTTTAATTTGTGCAGAATGATAAAGAATGTTCCTTCCTAGAAGTGTGTTATGTCTGTATTTGTCTGAAGAGTGACATTAAACTTTGAAAGGACTTCAGTGCTCCTCTGAGATGATCCAAATAGTTTTTTACATTTGAAGAACTAGAATTCTTGGGGTTCTTTTATACATTTTCATCCAACCTTTCAATGTGGTTATGTATCCATACCTTTAGTTTAATATGCCAGTGTAATAGCATATTGCATTCAAAAGTTTCTTGTTGCCTAAGTGGTTTGCCCTGTGTGACACTCGGGTTAATGGCGGGGTGTGGAAGGAGAGTCGTAAACGAGAAACCTTTGAGTATTCTGCCTTTAGTAAATACCGGGACAATCATGGTAAGCAAACGTAGTCTGTTAGCTGCATTCTTCCCCTTAACAGTTAAAATGAAATGCATGATGGTATTTTATTCCTTGAATTATGCAATGCAATGTTTTTAATGTAAATACTACCAGTCATATACCGATGTATATGGTAACCTGGGTCATATCTATTTTTATGTAAACTCTATTTTGTTCTTGGCAAGAAGTGAAACTGAGGCCTGTGTGCAGGTTGCCATTGACTTTCGCTCTGGTGAATGCTGAGATCCAGCTTTTTCTTACAGATAAATGGGACCCCATTTTTTCAATATAAATGTACCGTGTTTTGTTAGGTACAGTCTGGATCATGGCATGTAAAAATAGAAATTTAGAATTTTACTGCAGCTTTGATGTGCATATTTGAACTTTTTAACATTTGTAATTTTGGTGGCAAAGAATTTTAGCTTCTGTCAGTTTTGTACGTCTACAGCTAAACCACTAATAGCAGTCATAATGACAACTAGAACTTGTTTAAGAGTTAAATTAGCAAGTCTTACATTACATGATTGTACATACTATTTTACAGAAATTCCCACATTTGATTTTTTAAGTCCAGTATCTAGGTATATCTAGCCCACTAAAGTCAAGGTATCATTTATTGGACTTTTTGAAAATAAAAGTTACAAAAACAAAAGCAAAAAAGCTGTTCTTTGGTTTAATGTTCCAGTTGTTACGATAGCATTGAACGACAGTGTCAGGAAGTCTTATTTATTTCTCTCCTACATGTAGGAGTGTGGGAGTGAAGGAACTATAGAGCTTTTTCTTACAGAACGTACCACCAGATCTAACAATTAAGTGGCTATAAGTGAGTAGTAGTATTTAGACATATAGAAGAGTAAGAAGAATCTTACTTAAAAAAAAAAAGAGCCCCTTTAAACTTGCAGGATTTACCTTAAAAAATATAAGCTATGAGGTATTATTGTGCTAAGTTGTTTCAAGTCGTCCTCAAAAATTAGGTGTAATTGAGCTCTGTCCATTACATTATGTCAGCTTTAACATACCATATTTTGAATATTTCAGCTATATTTATTGGCTTTGTGCAAGTAGCTAGAGCAGAGAAATAGTGGGTCAACGTTCTTGACCTTAATTATAAAATCTTTCCATGGAGATAGGGCTAGAAATACTTTGCCAAATAGCATTCTTACTCACTTTATGTCAGTATTTAGAAAAAAATACATTCTAGCAAGTATGCTAAAGGATGCTGTTTTTCTATAAATTATTGTTAGAAAGTCGTGCTTTTTAAAAAAGTTGGTAATCCATATCGTGGAAGGTGTATTTTTATGTATAAATTCACCACGATTAAAGGATACTTTTCATCTTGTCAATCATTACTATGTAGAATGACTATCCTAAATAGTAATGTATTAAAAAGAAAAGAGTTAATACGACAAATGTCCTTAGACGTGAGCTTACTTGGCACACCCGAGACTTGTATCATTCTTTGAAGCTTACAGAGCATCTCTCTGTGTGTTCCTGTGATGATTCAGTCTCCCGCTTGGGGAGGGGCTTTTGGACTGCAGTTGTAAATATTATGCTGATGAAGTATAAAAGCTTTTTCTTCATCAGTGGTTTGTTCTTATGCTGCTTTTGTTTGTTCATTTCCTTTTTTAGGGTTTATAAAGATTTGTTTTTGTTTTTGTTTTCCCTAAAGCCAGGATTTCAAAAGTCCTAAAGTACTTGTGTCCACCCCCACCTTCATTCCCTTGGGATTAAGAGGCGTTCAGGGAAGAGTGTGTTTTGGGTTGTAGTACATCTTTCTTTCCTGGCTTCTGTATTTGAGATTTCCTTAGGTGGGGAGAGGGGGCCCATGAACCCCTGGCATCATTTTTTCAAAACGTATCCAATTTTGTGGCCAAAACAGTTTGTCTTAATCAGATGTGAATTCTTCATGGGTCACTCCTTCATTTGGACCCATGTCTTAGTGGGAATAGAGGTGTTTCTGCCTTGTGTATTAATTTCTGGCTCATTTTGGAAGAGCAGCTCTAAGAGATGAGGAATGAATTTTAAGTTATTAAGCTACTATAATTTTGGAAGTCCTAGGGTGATTTTAAGTATGGCAAAATACAAGTTGTATTTAGATCAAAATTCATGATTTTAAAAGGGATTGTTGGGAGAGGGGTGAATAGCAAAAAGAATACTAAAAAGGATTTGCAAAAGATGGGGAGAAAAAATTTGTGACTGGCGAGAGATAAAAGAAACTAAATGAATAGAACTAGCTGGAAAGGGAATGTGATCTGGTTCTTGAGTGTAGGTCCAGGAAACAATTAACTGAAGAGATCATCAAAAAGGATACCTGATAGTGCAAAACAATACATTTGTATGCAAGGTGTCTCTAACCAAGAAAGTGACTGGAGCACCTGATGTTGCAAATAATTTTGTAAAATTGATATTTTTACTGAAATGGTATTTTCAGTTTTCTTTTTACTGGGCAACTTAAGCTTATTTTTTCATGATGAGCTGAGGGTACTTGGTAATTACCCAAATTCCAGCTTTGGTAATATGTCAGTTACATTCTTTTGTTGAAAATTCATACCGCTGGATGCTTTTATGTTCATCTTTTATTTTTGTAAGATTTAGTTTGAGGTGGAAATAGGTTTGTTTGGTCAAATTACAGAATGAAGGCCATGTTCAGCTTTATATAAATATTCTCACAATCTCCATTTAAGGGCAGTTTTTAGCATTGAGTCCCTTTCTTCCTTAAGGTTGGGAAAAAATAAGGTAAACTTCTACCTAGGATGTCACAGAAGTCACTTTTAAAATTAGATCATGATTGAGATATACTGAACTCTTGCACTGACCTCCCCCTCTCCGTTTTTCCTATTATGTTTGACAAAATAATGAAGAGGAAAAAAAAAAAAACTGTGAGAAATATTCGTTATAATGCTTTCAGATTATCCACTTAAATTTATGTATTTTCATATCACTCAGGTAAAGTTGGAAATGACAGAGCACAGACATCTATTTTTTAAATCAGTAGGGTAGAAAATGAAAAGCACTTCTGTTTATTTATATTACCATATATGCACATCATCTAAGCTAATCAGAAATAATATATTCATTTGTATAGCAAATGGAATGCATTCATCCTAACTACAGTCAACACATTTTTGCCAAAAGGCACAAATATACCTCCATTTATATTTTGTATCTAAAAATGTAGTTTAAAAATAGGACTACGTATAAGCGACACTTTTTACAAAAAGTGCCATATACACATAATGTAACAGGGATGAGTGTGTGGTGTTCAACATAATTTATAACAGTTTCCGTCAGTACAGTAAATACTGAAAAGTCAAGTTGTTTTCGACTTATTCAAGTATATCCAGGATAAAATAAGTTAACCCAGTTTCATGATGTAAATCATATTTTGTTATTTGCCATATTTTATTTGAAGCAGTAATACAATTTTATAACTCAGATTTGAATGTTATCATACATGATGTGCTGGCCATGGCAAGCAAACATTTACTTTTTTTTTTTTACAATAAATTTCTTTTAGAATATACTTTCTATTTTTCTGTACTGACATATGCAATAAATTGATAACATTAAAAGTTTGATTAATGTCTTAAGATAGTTTGTATTCAGTCTTTTTTTTCCCCCAGTTTTCTATTAACCTAAATTATATGGTAGGACATTAAGGTTTCCTAAGGGTTAAATAAAATTTCTGAATGCATACGGAAATTAATGAATTTTTATTGTTGTAATGGTATGGTTGATAAGTAGAAGTGAAATTTATATTCTCTTCATATTATCTTCCCACAGAAGACATTTCATGTAGGCTCATAGTAAATATATTCTTTTTTTTCAAAGTTTTTTTTTTTTTTTTAGTTTTTTTTTTTAAGATTTTATTTATTTATTTGACAGAGTCAGAGACAGCACAAGCAGGGGAAGGGGCAGAGGCAGAGGGAGAAGCAGGCTTCGAGCGGAGCAAGGAACCCCATGTGGGGCTCGGTCCCAGCACCCTGGGATTGTGACCTGAGACGAAGGCAGACGTTTCACCGGCCGAGCCACCCAGATGCCCTGTGAATATTTTCTGTATATGAACCGTTGGTGGTTGAATAGGCCCCAAAGCATTTGATGAGTTAAATGAATCTAGGAATGAGTACATTTTAACTACTGATAATCCTATTGCTTCAGATCTCATGAAGTGCTTTCTCTCGGAATTCTGGTCTTTTTTCCTCCGTTACTATGGAGTTGGTGGTTTAGGACAATGTAAAATGGCCTGTTACGCATTCAGTCTTTAAGAGTCTGTAGCTTTGGGGCGCCTGGGTGGCTCAGTGGGTTAAGCCGCTGCCTTCGGCTCAGGTCATGATCTCGGAGTCCTGGGATCGAGCCCCGCATCGGGCTCTCTGCTCGGCGGGGAGCCTGCTTCCCCCACTCTCTCTCTCTGCCTGCCTCTCTGCCTGCTTGTGATCTCTGTCTGTCAAATAAATAAAATCTTTAAAAAAAAAAAAGAGTCTGTAGCTTGGTTTCTCTGACAAGAAACTCACATGCTTCAGTAGTGTCAGAACCAGTTGGATGATATGAAATGTATGACAGACCATTTTAAACGGCCCCTACGAGTGGGGGTGAGGAGATCCCTTATTGGAGGCCACCATTCCATTGCAGATGTGGTGGGAGAGGCGATCTCCCGTGTACTTTGCTCAAAGACTGCTAACCTGAATCCGAAGAGAAAGTAGTTTTTTAAACTACTCGTTCTTA